TACCTACCTAACAGAATTGAAGGAGAGGGTTGTAGCAGCCCAGGCTTATCCAAGTACAGTTGAACACAGAGGCCAGAAAATGGCAATGCTTAGTTAATGTGTTAGTGTCTGCCCTTGTTGTTATGATTATTCACTAATTTGTTTTTTAAATGGCTTTATTGAGATATAATTCACACATCATGAGATTCACCATTTAAATTGAACCCCATAGTTTTAGTATAATCACAGGGTTATGCAACCATCAAAACAATATAATTTTAGAACATTTTTATCTCTCTTTAAAAGAAACTCTGGTGCCCATTAGCGGTGTCTCCCTGTTCTCCCTCTCCAGCCCCTCCCCTCCCTGGCCTCAGGCAACCACTGTTACACTTTCTGTTCCTATGAATTTGTCTCCAACTCCTGACCTCAAGTGATGCACCCACCTCAGCCTCCCAAAGTGCTGGGATTACAGGCGTGAGCCACCACGCCCAGCCATAACTCATCTTTAATAGTGGTTGTTTAGGTGCACTTGTTTAGCTGTGATTTCTAATCATTATTTATCATCAGATCAGTGTGGTTTGGGGGTTAAGTGATCATACAAAGGGAGACAGACAAAAACAACAACAACAACAACACAGAACTACATGTTTTCTGCCAGACAGGCTGAGTTCAAATTGTGGGTCTGCCTCCATCAAGGTCAGTGACCTTGAGCAAGTTACATCCCTGCTGAGCCTCAGTTTGTTCTTCTGTAAAGCGGGAATAGTAGGTCCCTCACAGGGTCATGGAAGGAACTGAAGAAGATGATGTGTGCCTGGGACATGACTCAGCCAGTGATGATTCATTAATCGCAGTATTTATGAGATCTCTCAGCCATCCAGCTGGGATCATGTTGTAGGCTGAAAATCTTCATTCCAAGATGAATACATGTACATTGTACATTAGAGAAAAATTGGAAAATATAGATGAACCAAAAGCAAAACAGTCTTTCATGCAGGTATTGAGATGAGAAATAATTAATTATTATTTCGGGGAAAATAACTAGGATTTTTAAATTACTTAAACACAGTTGTATATTTTTATGTCTTTTCCACAACATAGAGTTGCGCTTTCTTGGTAGCAAGCTGTTTTTAGGCAGTGTATGTGGAATGTATTTCTATGCAAATACACAACTGTCACTATTAAAGGCAGTATACCTAAAAAAAAATTTCTTTCCTCCCTCTTGCACTCTAAAGGCGGTATACTTAAAAAATTGGCTAACCATACCAAAAAGTGTTCAACCAATCTGTTTTTTGCATTGCTTTTTTTTTTTTTTTTTTCCGGCAGTCTCGTTCTGTTGCCAATGCTGGAGTGCAGTGGCACGATCTCAGCTCACTGCAACCTCCGCCTCCCGGGCTCAAGCGATTCTCCTGGTTCAGCCTCCCGAATAGCTGGGATTACAGGTACCTACCACCACACCTGGCTCATCTTTGTATTTTTAGTAGAGCCGGGGTTTCGTCATGTTGGTCAGGTCTCAAACTCCTGACCTCAAGTGATCTGCCCACCTCAGCCTCCCAAAGTGCTGGGATTACAGGCGTGAGTCACCGCACCTGGCCCCAATCTGCTTTTGATAGTCACTTAGGGCAAGTCGAATTTTAAGCCATTTTAAAGAGTGCAAAGTTGAACACATTTATGTATTCATATTTTTGTACCTGTTGTGTCTATTATTTTAGGATACATTTCTGCCAAGTGGAATTACAATTTTTTTAAATTTTTTATTCATTTTTCTTTTTTCTTCCCAGATCTCCTTTAGTCAGGGAAGACCAACATTTTTTTTTTTTTGTAAATGTTTTGTTGTGATCTAGTACACATCCAGAGCAGTGCATCACTCATAAGCATACAGACAGTTCTTTAAGGTTTCCGAGCACACAACTATGTCAAGTGTATGGAGGTCTAGAAATGGAACATTCCTAGTACCCAGAACTCCCCTTTGCACTCCATTCAAGTCACTCCTCCTCATCTCATCCTCCAAAAGTCATTTACAATGTTAGCGTCATCTACGATGCCTCCCTTAAGAGCAGCCACTATCTTGACCTCTGACATTGTAGTTGAGTTTTGCCTGTTTTTGAACTTTATGCAAATAGGATCATAAAGTATGTACACTTTCCTGTCTGGCTGCTTTTGTCTGTGATTATCTATATTGTTCATTTTCGTTGCTGTGTGCTATTCCATTGCTTGACTATACTACACATTAGCACTCTACTCTGCCATTGTTGGGCATGTGGGTAGTTTCCAGTTTAGGGCAATTCCAATGGCACCACCATGACATCTTTGTACGCATGCTTGGGTAAACCGAAGCATGCATTATTTGTGTATTTACCTAGGAGTGGAATTGCTAGGCCATGAAGTATGCCAGTGTCCTTGCTGACATACCTATGATATAAATGGCCATATTTTCCTGCAGAAAGGTAGAAATTGCACTTTGATGATTCACCTCACCGTTCCAAGTGTCAGTGGCTACATCTGTAACAAGAGGATACAGCCCCCTCCTAGAGTGTTGGGAGGAAGAGATGAGCTAATCATTGGAGCTATGCCCACAGGAAGTAGGGAGCCCTCAGTCCGGGTTGGCAGCCTTAATGAACTGCTGGAGATGCTTGGGAATACTGAGCTGTTGATTCTTGAAGAGCCTGAGGCCAAAAAACAATGAGTAGGAAGTGAGGTGACCAGTTGACCCCAGAAATTAACTGTCTTTGTAATGGCAGCAAAACAGGGCTTAGGGGTAGGGAATGCTGGGAGGATTGAGGTGGGAGGTCACATCTCCCTAGTCCAGCCCGTGTTTTGGAAAAGTTTGCGTGAACTGTATAGTCCCCAGGAACCAGACCTAAAGGCCTTGAGCGCCAAGGTACTCTGGGCAGACAGGCAATATTACTTCATGGTGAAGGCTGGCTTTGGGGTCGCACAGACTCAGAGTTCAGTCCCAGCTCTGCCTCTGTGTGTTGTGGGATCTTAAGTGCTCTCTGAGCTGCAGTTTTCAACTTATAAAACTGAGATAAAGGCTGGGTGTAATGGTTCACACCTGTAATCCCAGCACTTTGGGAGGCTGAGGTGGGCGGATCACTCAAGGTCAGGAGTTCAAGACCAGCCTGGCCAGCATGGTGAAACCCTGTCGCTACTAAACATACAAAAACTAGCTGGGCATGGTGGTGTGTGCCTGTAATCCCAGCTACTTGGGAGGCCGGGGCACGAGAATCACTGGAACACGGAGGCAGAGGTGGCAATGAGCTGAGATTGCACCACTGCATTCCAGCCTGGGTGATGGAGTGTGACTCTGTCTCCAAACAAACAAACAAACAAAAAACCTGAGATAATATCCACTCACTTACTGAGTCGTTTTGGTAATGAAGTGAGAAATGCAGATCATTGTTTAATATTGTGCATTTTTTAGAGACAGGGTCTTACCCTGTCACCCAGATTGGAGTCCTTCCATTTCTTTGCTCCACCAGATTCTCCATACATTTCTCAGTATAGGTTTCCCAGATCACGTCCAACACCAGCCTGAACCCTTATTTCCTCTCGCTACTCATCTGACTCCGAGTCTGTGACTATACAAAGCCCCTTTCTCAGCTAGGATAAAACTCATCTTCTGGAGTGGAAGAGGAAGGGTCAGACAACCAGATGCAATTTTCTCTTGACTGGGCCTGGTGGCTCATGCCTGCAATCTCAGCACCTTGGGAGGCCGAGGTGGGCAGATTGCTTGAGTCCAGGAGTTTGAGACCAGCCTGGGCAACATGGTGAAACCCTGTCTCTCTAAAACAAATAAAAATTAGCCGGGCATAGTGACGCATGCCTGTAGTTGCAGCTACCCAGGAGGCTGAGGTGGGAGGATCTCTGGAGCCCAGGAGGTAGAGGCTGCAGTGAGCCGTGATGCTGATCGTGCCAGTGTATTCCAGCCTGAGTGATGGAAGTGAAACCCTGCCACAGAAAGCAAAGTTTCTCTTTAGTGGGCTAGGGAAGGTCAGAGGCTGGGAGAATGGCCTGCTTCATGACTGCCCTGTCTCTGGGGCTATTAGTAATAGTTGTATTATTATTACTAAGGCAGTTGGAACTGATCACTGCAGAGCTGTGTTTCTGGGAAGAATGGGAAATCCTTTCTGCTGCTTCACCCGGCACTCACTTTTGCCATGGTGGGAGACGCTTTGAGAAGGGGTGCGGCAGCCGGTGGGGATGGGGCAGAGGAATACCTGCAGCCTCCCTCTGACAGTCAGTGATGTTTTCTTCTGTCTTGTTTTTCTCTCTTTCCCCACTTCTCAGTCTCATCAGATCAGATCGAGCAGCTCCATCGGAGATTTAAGCAGCTGAGTGGAGACCAGCCTACCATTCGGTAAGGTCGGCAGTGGGTTTGGGTGCTGGGTGGGGCCATGCCCTTGCAAATTTCTTGTCCTGTTTCTTTCCTTGAGTGCTGAGTGGTAGGGGGAGGGTGGTAGTTTTTTCTTTCTTTGGAGACGGAGTCTCGCTCTGTCGCCCAGGCTGGAGTGCAGAGGCGCCATCTCGGCTCACTGCAAGCTCTGCCTCCTTGGTTCACGCCATTCTCCTGCCTCAGCCTCCTGTAGCTGGGACTACAGGCGCCCGCCACCATACCTGGCTAATTTTTTGTATTTTTAGTAGAGACGGGGTTTCACCGTGTTAGGATGGTCTCAATCTCCTGACCTTGTGATCCACCCACCTCGGCCTCCCAAAGTGCTGGAATTACAGGCATGAGTCACTGTGCCCAACCAACTGTAGTTGTTTTAATGCTTCTGGTCTCTTCCAAGACAAGATGTTCCTAAACAGTAAGGAAAGAACCACTTCTGTTTCTGTGAGGATCACACAATTATAAATTATAACTAGCGTGGAAGCGAGGAAGGGCTCTTCAGCCACCCCCTGCCTCACCCTGATTCCTCGGATGGAATGTGCTTGGAATCTCAGACACATATGGAGGACCTGTTAGATCCCAGGATCCTGCCAACTGCCAGACACACAAAGATGAATCAGTTGTGGTAGAGCCCAACTTAGGGGCTTGGGCTGTCATCAGGACCTCTGTCTTTTGGCTCCCCTTCTTTAGGGTTAGTTCCAGCCTCAGGCAAGATGGGGGTGGCTGCCTCAAATTTCTGTTAAGGAAAATCAACCTTCTGCATTATGTTTTGTTAATCTTTTAGATACCCTTTAGGTTGCTTTTTAATGAAGAGGAATGAGGAATGCCTTAAACTGTATTCTGGTTGAATTATTTGTTATTTGGGTATTTCTAACTTTTTTGAAACACGGTCTCGCTCCATTGCCCAGGCTGGAGTGCAGTGTTGCGATCATAGCTCACTGCAGCCTCAATCTCCTGGGCCCAAGCGATCCTCCTGCCTCAGCCTCCCAAGTAGCTGGGACCACAGGCATGTGCCATCACACCCAGCTAATTTTTAAATTTATTTTTATTTTCGTAGAGACAGGGTCTCGCCGTGTTACTCAGGCTGGTCTTGACCTCCTTGACTCAGGTGATCCTCCTGCCTTAGCTTCCCAAAGTGCTGGGACTACAGGCATGCACCACCATACCGGCTAATTTTTTAAAGTTTTTGTAGAGGTGGGGGTCTCACTATGTTGCCCAGGCTGGTCTCAAACTCCTGGCCTCAAGCAGTCCTCCCATTTCTACCTCCCAAAGTGTTGGCACTACAGGCGTGCACCGCTGCACTAGACCTGTTAATTGTTTTTTGTTTTTGTTTTTTTTGGAGACGTGGTCTTGCTCTGTTACCCAGGGTGGTCTTGAACTCCTGACCTCAAGCAGTCCTCCTGCCTTAGCCTCCTGAGTGGCTGGGATTACAAGCGAGTGCTGCTTGAGTTACTAACAGCTAGGTTAGTGAGAGGTCTTTGCCAGTGACTTGATCATCACACAGAGTTCATGAGGAAGCTTCAAGTTGAACAAATTTCTTTTTCTTTTTTTTTTTTTGAGACGGAGCCTCACTCTGTCGCCCAGGCTGGAGTGCAGTGGCGCGATCTCCGCTCACTGCAAGCTCCGCCTCCCGGGTTCACGCCATTCTCCTGCCTCAGCCTCAAGAGTAACTGGGACTACAGGCGCCTGCCACCATGCCCAGCAAATTTTTTGTATTTTTTAGTAGAGACAGAGTTTCACCGTGTTAGCCAGGATGGTCTCGATCTCCTGACCTCATGATCCGCCCATCTTGGCCTCCCAAGGTGCTGGGATTACAGGCGTGAGCCACCGCGCCCGGCAAGTTGAACAAATTTCTACCATAAACTTCTAACAGATGTAGTTTCCTAAAATAAGCATTCAGAGTCTCAAGGTTACAGCTTGTTGGAACTTTGAAACAAATCTTTTAATACTCCAGGAAATGCTTCCTTCTTACTAAACACACTTAAATTTCCCCTAAGTTTTATGGAAACTGACATATAAATGTCCACTTTCTCTTGTGTGTCTAAACACAGGTGTATTGTTAATCCAGTGTATTTTTTTCTTAAGTCAATTTCAAGAGCTCAGATTCTGACGGTCTGTTGGTTGTTGTGGCCTCTGGTCTCAGTTTGATTGCATCCAAGGCCGACTTAAAGACAATTAAGACTTATACCTTTAATTCTACACATCTAGCCCACCAAGCCCAGTGGAGGGGAGAGAACCTGAGCCCAGCAAAAGAGTCACCTGGCTTCTCATTGGCTCTGATGGGGTCACGGACCTGAGTCTGAGCCAATCGCCATGGCCAAAGACCAGACATACAAATGTTTTCCTCCAGAGCAGTAAGGTCCTGGGGCCTGTGGTCAGCTCAGCATCCCCCAAGGGCAGGAATGGAGGGTGGGTGGTTTCAGTCAGGGCAAGGTGAAACCTCCTTGGGCCATAGGCTGAGGAGTGTGTAGGGTAACACAAGTCGGCCAGGCACTGAGTTCTAACAGAGTGGCACATATGGACTCTGGATGTTGGAAAATAGAGTGTCAAGGGTATGCCTTGCTTGTTCCTTCAGAAGTTCATGAGCAGTCTGGGCAATATAGCAAGACCCTTTCTCTACAAAATGTTTAAAAATTAGCCAGGTGTGGTGATGCACACATGTAGTCCTGGCTACTTGGGTAGCTGAGTCTGGAGGATCACTTGGACCCAGGGGTTCAAGGCTGCAGTGAGCTCTGAGTGCACCACCACCCTCCAGCCTGGGCACCAGAGCGAGACCCTGTCTCTTAAAAAGTTCGTGAGCATCTGCTCTGCACCAGGTGCTTGGTACCTATGCTGGTAGAGGCAGCCACTGTGGAGCTCACTGTGGAGGATGTGGGAAGGCAGAGCCCCTTTGTCCTCAAGACAGTTTTCCAGCAAGTGGAGCCCCCAGCCCTGAAACAAACCGCCTTGGGCTTACTGTTATGCATCTGATGTTAGGTCCATCCAAGCTTGAGTGGTGAACTTTAGGTTCATATTCTACATGCATAGAGATGCAGAGGCAAAAACCCAGGCTTCGGAGTCCAGCTGTATGAGAATCCTTCATGCTATTGGCTCTGTGGCTTCGGGCCGGTCACTTCATTTCTCTGAGCCGGTCTCCTCACCTGGAAAGTGAGCATGGTCACTTGGGATTTGATTTGAGCGTTAAAAATGAGCAGTGGGCCAGGCGCTGTGACTCACACCTACAATCTCAGCACTTTGGGAGGCCAAGGCTGGAGGATCGCTTGAGTGCAGGAGTTCAAGACCAACCTGGGCAACACAGTGAGACCCCCTTTTTTGGGGAAAAAAAAGAGCAGGTGCAAGCAGGACAATTTAGCTCTAAGCTGGGTTCACAGGCATTTGACAAATGGGACTGTTATTATTCTGCCCCATCCTGAGGGTCTAATCTGAGTGTGGTGGGGGCCCAGGTGCTGTGTGAGGAGGAGGATATGATGCCGTTGGAGGCCCCTCCCACTTTCAGGTTCCAGGCGCTGAGCCCCTGATGCATTGCCTAGCACCCTATCATAGGCTTATGAGGGGACGTACTAAAATGGCATTCCTTACAATTTTTTTTCCAACTTGAGTGTGCTCGAATCACCTGGGAATCTTGTTGCCATGCACGTTTTGCTTCTGCAGTTCTGGGGTGGGACCTGAGACTCTGCATTTGTAACAAGTGCCCCCCTTGCCAGGCACCGTGGACAGCACACAGTAGGTCTTCCATGGTTCAGTGGGTGCAGCGTTCTCCTCCTGCAGGAGCTGAGCTGGCGCAGCCTCTGCGCTGATGGCGCTGGGCTCCTACCTCCCAGGCCTTACCTGCCCAGGCTCAGCTTAGAAATGTGAGCCGTTGGTCCTGCCCTGCCACCCCAAACCCTGTTTGCCCCTCTCCTGCACACCCCTCCCCAGGACCTCATATGTAGCGCCCTTGCACAAGCCCTCAGTGTGCCTGCCTGGCAGGGTCACTCAAAGGAGCCAGTGAGCAACCTC